TTCACATATATATACTTAGTATTGAATATCATGCGGCACTCATTGTGAAGTTTGTTTGCTTGTTTTATTTTTATAAAAAAAAAAAAAAAAAAATTGCATGCCAACCTCTTTGAAGTTTCTTACAGCTTGACACAATCATTTTCTTAATAATTAAATTCATTTTTGTTTGCTTTTGTGTTTTGTTGGGATCTTTGTTTTGTCCATGTTGTTACTGATTTGGCTAATTTCATTGATCCTTATGTTTTAATAATCCTTCAACTATCTTTGTTGTTATTCAATTAAATCGCCACCATGCTCTTGAGTTTCTAATTAATTAAGTTGGTGGATCAATTGGCCAAGTTCATTGCATTTTAAATTGCTTAATTAGTGAGAAATAGTCAACGAGCCAGTACTATTGGACAAGAGTCTCACTTGGTTGAAATATTCAACTAAATAATAATAAAAACATCTAATAAAGTTGCTTTCTTTCAATATTTTGCAAGATGTTTGAAGATTAAGGCCCCGTTTAGGATTGCTTTTTTTTTGCCAAAACTTGCTTCATTTTAAAGTTAATCAGTTTAAGGTCTTTGATAAAAATTAAATAGACTATGTTTCTTATATCATCATCTCTTTGCCCTCCTTGTGGAAGTCTTTTCCCTAAGTTTATTGCAACTTGTTTTATCTGATTTCTTTTATTTGGGTTCAGTTTTGAGTTATGTCGTTACTTATGATATTAATTAAAATATTTAAATACTAATTCTTCATGACATAAATAATAGGCTTAAGTGCTACAGTGCCCCCTGAAACATTAGTCAATTCCTACTAAACCTCCTTAAAGTAAGTGACCCACTTTGCTCCATTTACAGATGTTTTGTGTCTCACTTTGCCCATCACCATCAAGTTTGTTAAAAAAGCTGATGTGGCACCAATAGGACCCATTGTTTTGCTAAACTAAAGGCCTGTTTGGGAGTGCTTTTGGAAGGCCAAAAGCATTTCTGACAATGTTTGGTAGAAACGTTTAGAAGAGCTTCTGGGTCATAGAAGCGCTTCCTGGAAAAGCACCTGCTATGTGCTTCTTCAGGAGCACTCCCAAGTGCTTTTCCATGAAGCACTTTAATTTTTTATGAAAATTCAAGATTTTTATAATAAAAGTGCTTTTGTTAGAAGCTCTTGTGAGCAGAAGTAGAGAAGCAGTCTCAAACGAGCCATAAGTGCCATGTGTGAAGAAAAAAATTAAAAATCAAAAATTGTCTTTTAAAAAACTTATTTAACTTAATTTCTATATTTTTTTTTAACTTCTGTTAGTTGTGAAGGGGTAATTCCGTCAATAAATTATTTAAAAAATTCATTCATTTTAAAAATAAAATCTTCAAATTGAAAAAAAAACAAACAAACAAACAAACCCAGCCAAAACCAATTCCACTCCATTGCAACCTCCCAACGACCCAAAAATTTAAAACAAAAAAACAATAACAAATATATCTTAAAGAATAAATAACAAAAAATTGAAAAAAGTAAAAACAAGAACAAGATCTTTTTATTTTTTTATTTTTAACAAACTCCTTGTTTGGCAAGGAGGCTTGGTTTTCTCTCATTGCACAGATCAGAATTCGGTGGGTTTTAGGTAAG